GGCCGCCCGGCCCCGTACCCGCGGGCCCCGGGGAAGGGCCCTTCTGCGTTTGTGAGGGGGGTCGTTTTGTGTCAGAGGAGTTACTGAGGTATCTGCTGCCTTCGCTGTTAAAGAGTCTGTGACTGTATAGTTGCTGTGAAATCGGGGGCTTATCTGGACATCCCCAGAACGAGTGAGACTAGCGTCCTGTGATTTGCACTCGTGGTGATGGATAGGAAGAGATTTTCCTTTCTAAAATATGCTACTTACTTTAAGAATATATTTAGTTACCCTTAAGTAGAGAAACAGTCTTAAATCAAACTGGTTTTAGCATGCCCAAGACGTTGGACTCTTAAGATGGGCTTTTTAATCACGTGCTGAAGGGTTATGTGTACTTCAGGACATCCGTGTGGCTGTAGAAGCCGGGGTGTTTGTGCGCAGAGCTGCCCGCTGGCCCTGTGTTTAGGCTGTTTCCCAAGGGTAGGAGCGTGTCTGCGGTGAGGTTAGCCGGCGGGCGCGGGAAGGGGGTTCTGGTGCGCCCTGTGGCAGGACGCCTTGCCGGTAGGCAGCCGGCCTGCCTGCTGCCCTGCTGCTGTCTGTCCTGAGGATCAGACCGAGCCACAGCTTTCTCTCGGAAGTATAAACAGAGGCTCAGGATCCTCAACAAAAACTGGGGGGGGAAGTGGATGTACCAGCTGGTTTAGCACTCTTGCAGACTCTGTATGTATTCTACTGTATGTAGAAGTATTTTATGTATACTTCTGTAAGTGTTCTACACTAAAGTCTGTCTTTGTCGTGGTCTTCTATGTTGCAGAATAATTTGTTACCCTAGAAACAAAAATAAAGAATCAATCAAACAGAATAATACTAAACAGGGCAGCCTGGTGTGTCTATACTTCAGTCAAATAGGAGAGTGCAGCTTATGTACATCTTACTGTAGTTAGCTTAATTTGCTCATCAAACTTGTTGACTTGAATATTTTAACATTGCAGCATCATATCACACCTGCTTTGATTATATATATGCTAGAATTAGAGCGATACAGAGAAGACTAACGTCTTTTTTTGCTCAAGGAAGATACAGACTCATTTGTAGCGTTGTAGAGAGGGCTTCTCTGATCCTGTGGCTTTTTTTAGCTGAGGAGCTTTCTCTGATGTAGTTGAACTTAATGTTTCCTGTGTCTCACAGGTTATGTATGAGGTATTGCACCAGTTTTGGAAAGTACCCGTGCTTTTGTGTGTGTTTGTTTTTAGGACTGGAACTAAAGTGGTTGATTAAAGTACTTATCTTTGTGCTTTCCTGAAAGAGACCTCCCAAAATATCTTTAGTTTCTTCCCTGATGAGAGAATGCTCATCTACCTCAGCTTCTTGATTGTCTGACGTATTCAATGTCTGTTGTCACCTATGGAATGTAGCTGGTACTTATAATGTTCACATGCTTTTACTGCTTTATAATAATACTAAGTGACATTCATACATTACTTGTGCAGGTGACTATTACATGGTTAAGAAACTCTTAGAGGAAAACAGCTCGGGTGAAATGAACATAAATTGTGTGGATGTGCTTGGACGAAATGCTGTTACCATAACCATTGAAAATGAAAACCTGGACATATTACAGCTTCTTTTGGATTATGGCTGCCAGGTATACAACACATAAGTTATTGAAAATTTTCAGTGTAATCATTGAACCGTGTATTCTACTCTTTATATAGCTTCTCTGTTAATCTGTCAGAATTTGGAGGGAAATAGGATGTGTCTTTGTAAGCAGTTCAGTTCTTTTCCCATTTAGCAACTGCAAAAGTGTTTTCCTCTCACTAATTTACTTTTCTAGTGGGATGTTATTGGCATGGCAAATGTGTAGTAACATTTTCAATGATATTAACAAGTCTGAATTTTATTTTAACTGTTATTCCCATTGCAGAGATAATGTATACATTATAATCAAGCAGAATAAACAGTACATAGTCAGAGTGCACCATATTAAAAAAGTAGAATGCAGAGATTTGGCTGTGGATTATAACTTTTCAAATGGTAGCACAATTAGAAAAATGCACATTATGTCAGATGATTTTAAGTTTGGGTAAGCATGTGTTTGTGCAGTGCTTTCTTATTAAACTTGGTCTGTGCTTGATGGCAGAGGCAGTTTCATACCAACAATACTTCCTTAACTATATGCAATGTCTCTGCTGTTTCTGGGAGAGTTGTAGCTATGATGGCTTAAGTATATAAGACAGGGAAAATGAGCCTTTTGTTAGGTTGTTTGATACTGGAGGGGAAAAAAAACAAGCTTTCCCCTCCCTGGATTTCCTTTTTAATGGTGATAATAAAAGCTGTGTCTTTTTCTTTTATTTTTAAAGTAAAAATCTGAATAAAGCCACTTAGCTCAACTTAAGAGAAGTTTCGGAAGTAGTTACCAGTCCAGAAAAAGCAGCTAATGTTCCTAGCTTTACCACAGAACTATGAATGCAGGGCTGAAGTATCTCACGTGCCTGAGTTGTTACACAGACACTTGTTTTTAACATTTTTAAGAACCTGATAAGCTGTCCCGTAGAACTGGATTTTTGCTAGTGTGCTGCATCATCTTTGCTGGAAAGTAATTTTTGCGATTGGTTCTTCTGCTGTTCATGCAATGAAACAAATTGTCAGTAATGCTTTGCTAACTCCTGGAATGACAACCTGAATTTCTATTCTGATCATATGCATGGTAATAATACAGAATGTCATTTTAGTACTTTAAAAATAAATTAAAAGAAAAAAATAACAAAAATGCAGTTTGGCTTCAGATTGATTCTTTATGCTGTTTAAGTTGCTGCTGTTTTCACATGTGACTTGTTTTCTTTCCATAGTCATCGGATGCACTTTTGGTGGCTATTGACTCTGAAGTGGTGGGAGCTGTTGACATTCTGCTTAATCACCGACCAAAAAGATCCTCCAGACCAACCATTGTCGTTGAGTGTTGTTATTCCTTGATTTTTGGTTGGGGAGTGCTGTGCTGTGCTATTGCATTCTGGGTGACTGTAGTATTTAAAACAATGTTATTAAATGAAATTCTACATTTCTAAGGTGATAGCATCTGGACATTAGGGATTATTTTTATAACCTTTTTTGTCTTAAAGGATAGAATACATTGTTTTGCTTTACTGCTTAAGGAATCCAGTGGCTTTATACATGCCAAATGCTAATAGATGCCTAGTTAGTCCAGAAAAGGAAAAAAATAGAGTAGCTAGAAATCTTTTGTTGGAAACTGTTTGCAAGGTAATTAGGAACCTTGACCTATAACAGATATATTCATGTATTGAATCTTCATAGATTTTTTCAAGCAAATCTGTAAGCCTTGAAATTAATCAGTTGAAACTTACCTTGGCAATGCTCAATATCAAAGAACTTTTAAAAGTTCAAAAGGAGGGGTGGAGGGAGGGAAGGAATAGGGTGTTGTGTAACAGAGTATAGTACAGTCAGGATATTTTTTCTGCGCTTAGATACTAAACATACTTAGAATATTTTTTTCTCAAAGTAGAGCAAAATACACTTTTTAATATCATGCATGTATATTTGAGAAGGTGGGCAGTGAATGTCAGGTTTTCTATGTGAATAAAACGGAAATGTTTCTGTGTCCATTTTTCTTTTTCCAGTATTTGTCTGAGAGGTGTTTGAATGTTGTTCCAAATTTTTCCTTATTTTCGTGTTATGAAATGTAGGAAAATATTTTGAAGGACAGATGAACAGTCAAAGAGCCATTACATGTAAACACTGTAGTATAACTATATGTAATAAATTCAGTACTTCCTACATTTTGTTCCAGAAACTAATGGAACGCATTCAGAACCCGGAGTACTCGACGACCATGGATGTGGCACCTGTCATTTTAGCTGCTCATCGTAACAACTATGAAATTCTCACCATGTTGTTAAAGCAAGACATATCATTACCCAAACCTCATGCTGTAGGCTGTGAATGCACGCTCTGTACTGCAAAGAACAAAAAAGATAGTCTACGACATTCCAGGTAAGACTTACCAGTCACAGACAATAATAAAAAAATAAAACTGTCTTAATTCTCTGGTATTGTTGGGTGAGATTCAGTATATTTCCTTTTTTTCTTTAAGGTGAGGTTTGAATGGATTCCTTTAATATATTGTAGACTAATTGTGAGAGATGGTAGTTCTCGGGGGTGGGTTGTGCTTGAAAAGGTTGTTGGAAGGCAGTGGCTTTATTTTCATTTTGGTTTTATACTTTTTATACTCACTGTGCATATTAAGCTAAGTGCCTTTCCTTTCTACCAGTTGTGTGTCAAACATTCTAGCTAGCTTTGGCTTGGGAGCATAGGAACTATGCAAATAAAATTATTCTTAAGTTAGTTAATACTTGTGGTTTTTTGAGCCAGAATGAGGAGGTGGATAATTCTGTATCCTGTTTCTAAAAGTGTTTTTGTAGCATGGATTGATGAATGCAAACTAAAGACAATTTTTTTCTCTTTTTTTTTTCTTCAGTATTTTTGAAAGTAGAAAGCTTTGTAATAGAGGTTCAAATGAGGAGAGGGATTTACCAATCTTAACAATATTTTTGCCTGGTTAACGTGACAACATATTTGAGGGTTGAATACAACTTAATATGTGAGATTTGGGGTGAAAAATCACAGAGCTCAAAGATCATAAGTGGACTGCAATTACGCTATACAATTAATTATTACATAATTACTTCAGTATGTATCCAAATTACTCAGGTGAAAGGATAATTGTTACTGGTATTCAGCTACTACAGGCCCAGTTCTGGTACCTTTGATGGTAACATCCACCTGATACCTTATGTCATTAACTTCAGTATCCCAAGCAAACAAACAATAGAAACATTTGAGATAACAGCTCTTAGTTTAAACTAGAGCAGATAACATAGTTTGTTTCCGCGTCCATGAGTGGTTTTGCAAGAGGAAAACGTTCCTTCAGATGCTTTCCCTGTTTTTTTTTTTTCCTTTGTATTAGCACATTACGGCTCCCCACTGTTTTTAGTTTAGTTTGTTAAAACAGAAGATTGCCTTAAATGCTTTACTCGCCTCTCTTATTTCCACTTCAAGAACCATAAGAACTACAGTGTAACACTTAAAATGTCAAAGTCTTACCAATACTGTTACCTTAACTGTTGGTCTTCCGATGTGCTGATAACAGTTGAAGTAGTGAGGAAAAGAAGAGGGAATCAGTTTGGTCAATTTTTGATACTTAAATAATAGGGATTCTAAGTATAAGAAAGACAGTGTCTTCACATTTAATGCTTGTAGTGTCTGATTTTAAGAAACCCAATTGTTTTCTTTCAGCTGACTGTTTTATGCAAGCTTTTGGAATAGGTCCTGATTTTAAACTGCTAATCAAATGAAACATTTTCATTTTGCTTGCTCTTCTTTTGTCACAGGTTTCGTCTTGACATTTATCGGTGTTTGGCCAGTCCTGCTTTAATCATGTTGACAGAGGAGGATCCGATCCTGCGAGCTTTTGAACTTAGTGCAGACTTGAAAGAATTAAGCCTTGTTGAGGTTGAATTCAGGTAAGAATCGAAACCACAAATCAACTTTAATACTTTTGTAAATTTACGTGTATAGAAATGTGTATGCATTAGGAAAGGTCTATTCTTAATTTTTCATAATTGGAGTGTTTGATAATTAGACATAATAACAAGTTATATTGTATAATTTATGCTTCATTAGCAGTCATTTTCACAGTTTAATTACTTTAAATCCTGTTAGGTGTAGCCAGTTCAGTGTATATAGTTATACCAACTGTTCAAATTTCAGCTCTATTCTGGAAAAATAAATAGAAATTATGCTAAATGCTAACTTACTTCAAGATCACACACCTACTAATCATATCAATATCTCATTAGCACTCTGTGCTTTTTTTGCCTACATCAGGGTAGAAGTACGCAATACCTTGTTTATACTGACCTGACTCATGTTGGAAGTTGTTTTGGGTATTGTTTCTTAATTTTGCTCCTTGTAAGACTCTGAACAGCGTGTGTGTATATATATAATATGCATACGTGTGTAGAAGATTATGTGCTGAAAATGCCCTGTCTCTTTAATGAAAAAATGTTGAATATAATTTTATGTTTAAACTATGCAGGTTTCTACATTTTGAAACTTACCAGCAAAAAGCATGTATTTTTTATAAGAACATGAAGGCAAATGTTTGTACAGGGTAAAATTCTGCTTTCCTAAACAACATAGGAATTTTTCTGGTTTTATAGCTGATTGACTTTCTTAGTTCAACTGTTGCATTTTTGTGATACAACTTGGCACTAAAATGGACTATGTGCCAGGTGAGACAAGGAAATAGTGTAAGTTTCTTTTTTTTGTGTTTATTATATTAATATATTATATTAATAAATAGCATTCAGTGAATAGACCTCAGTTTTCAGATGATGAGAATAAAGCAAAACTCAAACTAACTTCCTTTCCTGGAGGAAAGTCCAAATCATGAACTATCAGTGTCATATTTTGTGACTACTACACTTTCTCATCTCCTGAAATAATTCTAAGCTTGAGCTCTTTATAAGGAAGTTACAAGCTAAGGGTTTGTGTACTGTAAGTCTGTTTCTCAATTTTTCTCTACCTACTGGAATTGCAAACTAAACTGCATTGTAATTGTCATGTTACATGGTGGCACCTACTCAGAGTTGTCTTCAGACTGCTTGGATCTTGACATATGACTGTTATTTGGTTTTTGGGTTTGTTTGGGTTTTTTTGTGTTTGTTTGTTGTTTTTTTTTTAATTTGTCTTAGCATAACATACAATCTCAACCAAAAATGGATAGTCAATGATTTAATGGAAAATACATGAGCAGTGTACTGTTTCTTTGTCTTTCAGAAATGATTATGAGGAGCTAGCTCAACAGTGTAAAACCTTTGCTAAAGATTTGCTTGCACAAGCACGGAATTCACGGGAGCTGGAAGTTATTCTGAATCACACATCTAGTGATGAACATGTAGACAAGAGAGGATTGTTGGAAGAGAGGATGAACTTAAGTCGCTTAAAACTTGCGATCAAGTATAATCAAAAAGAGGTTTGTCTTTGCAGTTATTTGATGGCTTTTTATACCATCAGTATGAAACTTATTTCATGCAGTAGTTCATTGTTGTCTTTATCCTTTGACAAATTAGAACTCCAGTTTTGCTGTACGAGAAGGCAAATGGGCATCTGTGGGATTCTGGGATACAGAACTGGGGACGGAGAGGAAGTTTTGTTTCCATACAAAATCCATTTTCAGTTAGCATTTGCAGAAGCCATTATCTGTTCTATGTATCTAGGCACAAACTGTTTGTGAAACTATTAAAATACATAGTGTTTTGTAGTTATGGAATGTCCTAGAACGAGCATTACACATTTCTGGTATGCGTTAAACAAGCATACTGAAGTATTTCAGATATTTTTCTGGTTTTGAGAATAGCTTATTTTTACCACAGTGGTTGGAGAATAACATTTTTTGTGTGGTATGAGGAAAGTATCTTTGCAGAATATGATTTATTTGTGGTAGGTTAAGTATAGAGACATTTTTTTGGTGATGTTTTCTAAAATGTGATGATAACATCAAGGTTCTTTTTGTTGATATTTTTAAAATTAAATGACAAACCATCTTCTGGTGAAATACATTCTTTTGTAACTCCATGCAAATAACCATCTGAAATTTGAAACTACCTTTGCAAAATCTACATAACCTTAGACCAAAATGATCTTCTTTTGAGGGACTGATACAACATAGCTTACTCTGATTTAAAATTAACCCTGCTGAATAGAGCCATAATGATTTTAAGAACTGATACGTATAAATCTGCTTGGCCACTTTAGTCCTCATCTTACAAGGTGTTGTGTTTTACAATGTGGATAGTATTTTACAATAACGGTATCTTATTCTTCAGATAAGGTCACTGTATTTTATAACAGACAGTGAGCTGAGGTATGATGTTATTTATATGCTAGATTTCTAAATAATCAGAAATCAAAATTCATTCTTAACCTGAAAACCTTTAAAAGTCTACTATGTATAATTCATGTTTAGTTGCTGGCTTTAGGAGGAAATTAAAATAATGGATATTTTTAATTATAATGCTCCATAGCACTTTTTTCTCTTATAATTATTTCAATTTAATATTCTTGCCTTTTCCTGTTTGTTGGTGACTACACATAGGTTGAAAATGAACTTTAATAATATAAATTAGTGGTCTGTATTAAGAAAGCTGAGACTGATTTCTTGCTTGTTTCTTTTTTCTTTTTTCCCCTCAGTTTGTTGCTCAGTCTAACTGCCAGCAGTTTCTAAACACTGTGTGGTTTGGACAGATGGCAGGCTATCGACGCAAGCACACATGCAAGAAAATTTTGACTGTTTTGATGGTTGGCATTTTCTGGCCAGTTCTGTCCCTGTGTTACTTGTTAGCCCCTAAATCTCGAGTAGGTCGAATAATTCACACTCCTTTTATGAAGTTTATTATTCATGGAGCTTCATATTTCACATTTCTGTTACTACTTAATTTGTACTCCCTTGTCTACAATGAGAATAAGAAGAACACAATGGGACCAGCCCTTGAGAGAATAGACTATCTTCTGATAATATGGCTGATTGGTAGGTATCATTTAAGTAGGTTGGGTGATAATTGCTGATGTTGATAGAATAATAATTATTTGTATTACCTTCTTATGAAATTAGCATGTTACTCATTGCTTGATCAAAGTTTACTCTTTGGAGGATAGTGTTACAGGAAAACAAAAAAAATCACATTTTTAGGAAGGAATGTGAAATGTTAGAACAATCTCTAGTTGTCACAGAAAGTGAATTATCAGAAACAGAATGTTGTAGGATCTAACAGTGGAAGAATGTGGAAGGACCGGTACCATTCACAACGATGCAAGTGAGATTCAGTTGTACCAAAAAAAAATAAAAGTAAAAGCTGTGTATCATCCTAGATATTTTAAAGTTCTAATCTCAAAAAAAAAAAAGAAAGAAAAAAAAAATAACCTGAAGGCAAAGGAGGTGCGTGTTCCTCAGATTAATAGTTTTGTAACAGATAAGAGCCTGTCATCAACTAGTTTTCCTTGGTGCTAAGCTGAGAATTAAAATTAATTCAGACATCACTTTAGATTTTTTTCCAATAATTTTTCATGAATAGGTACTATTATTTAGTATGTGGGTGATTTAATCATTGTGAGTCAAACTTGTTTTGTTTTTTCATCAGCCAACAATCCATGAAAGTTATAATTTCTTCCAGCTGTCTTTTACAAGAAGTGTTTGGACAATGCTCTTAGATATATAGTTTAACTTTTAGATTGCCCTTGTGGAGTCAGTAGTTGCTTTTTTATGATCCATGTGGGTCCCTTCCAACTAAGGATATTCCATAATTCTATGAATTCTATAAAAAAGTAGTGGGAGTGATCTGAGCTTCGTAATTACTTGTGTGCCCGTCTATGGAATTATGCTAGAATCTGAATATTACTAGTAAAGTTATTGTTTCTTTGAAAATCTAGCCTAGATCTTTATGTAATCATAAAGTAGATTAAAACTATTTGTGCATTATATGCAAGTTAATTATATTTTTTCTGGATTGTAAATAGTTGGAGTAAGCATGCAGTTACAGTCATAAAATCAATTCCTGCACTGTTTTCATTTCTATTTTAATATGCTCTGACTCGGTAGAACAGGAGGATTCTGTGCATTTTGGTTGGACTAATCCAACTTTAAACAATTGCCAAAATTTAGGGTTCTGAAAAATCTCTTTCATAGTTCTAAATGTGAAATTTTTCTAGCATTCTGCTTAGCTCAGGGAGAGGACTTTGAATATATACAAAATTGCCATCAACAATGAGTAACAACTCAGTCTTTCATGACCAATTCTGTAATGCTTGATTTGAAAAGTAATTAATAATACAATTTGGGCTTGTTGCAGATTTGGTGTATTGTTTAAAGAAAAAAGTACGTTGTGCATGTTTATCTATGCATATGTATGTATGCATGCTCCATCTTAGTCTAATAAATTGAAGGTGTGCATTTACCTCATCCTTGTTTTAAAACACAGAAATCATATTATAACTTTCATTTTTTGTATGTCATTGTCACTGATTATCATAACTGCACATGAAAGGACACATGTTAGTTCTGGTTGATGCAGTAGAGGGAGCACAGGTATAATTTTTCTTGAGTACTCATGAACTTTTGTTTTGGTTGGAAATTCATGAAACCTTTTAGTGGGTTTTTCGTTGGTTGGTATGAGTTTGTTTTATACATAAAAATTTGGTAGATGAATTAATGGAAACTTTTACCTTAATGTAAGGTAATTAGATATGTATTATTTGGTTGATTGGACTTTTAAAAAGCAGTGATAAAGTAGTTGTGGGTAATTTATTTGTTATTTTAGTGTGGGGTTTTTTTTTGTAATGGTGATTCCTTTCATTGTTTAGCTATACTAAAACTGTTGAGTAGTTCATGCAGATTTTGGAAATATGCAGTACCCGACATACAAATGCATGTAGGTCTTAAAAAAAACTTGGAAGCTGCAGATATAGAGTACAAGTCAGTGTTACAGATTCTTTCTTTGTTTTGAGATTCAGTATCTGATTTTAGAAATTCTTGTCATTCCATCAAATCTAATGTAGGCAGAAAGGTGGTCTTGGCAATTTTAGTGAAAGGCCATAGAAACATTTTATTTTCTTCACATAGTGTTTTAACATGTGGATTTCAGATAGGATTGAAAAATGACCCGTAAGTAACAAATCATTAAAATCAGGTTATTTTTCACATTATTGAATCTTAAGATTTGTTAAATAGTAATTGCATTTATAGCTTAAATGCCTATTTTGTAATCACATATTGTACTGTTTCCTTACAAATATTCAGTAAGTTGAAAAGAATGTATTTAGAATGTGGCAAAATCAGCTGAAATAAAGAGAACCAAGTAACAAGGATTTACCTACATTATTGTCTTCCATAGTCTCATTAAGACACTTTCTAAAAATCAATGTCAAAATGGCCACAGCAGAAAATCTAACACGTAAAGTTAGCAGCCAGTTTTGTGTTCCACTAGGTTAACTTTCTAAAATAATGAACACAGTAATTCTTTTTCGAAGTTATTGAGACAAGTGTATTCCCCAGCAAAATAAAGCAACAGAACTCAAATTTTTGTGTAAGTTACATCAATTACAGCATCTTCTTCTCCAAGTAGATTTGATTCTGTAATAAATTTAGAGTAAAATACATGGTGATCATAGGGAGGGGCACAGCGGTTCTGGTTTAGAAATATTTTCTTTATAACCAGGAAGAAGAGAGTATAAGTCTTTTAATAAACAGTGCACAGCACACTTTTTTTTTATTATGCCTTCCAATATTACTGTAAAACTGACTGAACAAATAAAGTCATGAATAAGTATCTGATTTTTTTTTTTTTCCATTCACTGGATCTTGCTTGTACTGGGTCAAAGTTCTAGAGAAGTTGCAAAGTTCGAAAAGCCGAACTAAGTATAGCAGTTTTTAACTACCATTTATACACATGATGCTTTTCTTGTCCTAAATATAGTAGCATGCATTTGAAGTAATTAAAAAAAAAAAACCCACCCCCCCACC